TTGTACAAACCCATCTGGCTCACTTATGTCCTGCTAACAAATAGAATTGACCAATTATTGTCACTGGCATTGAGATCAATTTTCTTTCAATGGTGATTAACACACAATTTTTCCGTTTGGAGTACTAATGGGGAGGAATGGAAATATGATGGACAGGTTGATGATTAACCTGTTAAACCACATTATTGACTCAGCAGTTATTGGAATAAGCCAGAAAGTGGATTGCTGTCATAGTAAGATCAGCAACGAGCTTAATGAATGGCTGAGCAGTTTCAAGGGCTGAGTAGCCTATACCTGCTCCCTAAAGCACATATTTGTATGTTCATTTCATTTAACTTCTCCTACACCAACATCCTCAGAGCTTCTCATCATCACAGATGTCAGTCTTCAGCCAATTTGATTCACCCACATCACACAACGAAACCTTCGAAGGCAGTAGATACCATAAAGGCCATGGGCCTTGACAACATTCTGACATTAATCCTGATGACCTGAGTTCCAGAACCTGCACACCCGGAGCCAAACTGTTTCAATACAGTTACAATACTGGTACCTACCTGGCAAATTGTCCAATTATGTCCTGTACACAAAATCCAACCCAACCAATTACTGCCCCATCAGTCTCCTCTCGATCATCAGTAAAATGATGGAAGGTGTCATCAATAGTGTTATCAAGCAGCACCTGCTCAGCAATAACCTGCTCAGTGATGCCCAGTTTGGGTTCCGCCAGGGCCACTCAGCTCCTGATCTCATTACAGCCTTAGTTTAAACATGGACAAAAGAACAGAATTCCAGAAGTGAGGTGAGGGTGACAGCCCTTGATATCAGGGCAACGTTCGACCGACTATGGGTTCACGGAGTCATTGGGTATCAGGGGACCAACTTTCCACCAGTTGGAGACATAACTGGCACATCGGATGTAAGTTGTGGTTGTTGGAGATCAGCCATCTCAGCTCCAAGAGTTCCTCAGTGTAGTTTCCTAGGCCCAACCATCTTCAGCTGCTTCATCAATGATCTTCCATCCATCATAAGGTCAGAAGGGGACGTTTGCCAATGATTGCACAATGTTCAGCACCATTCACAACTTCTCAGATACTGAAACAATCCATGTCCAAATGTAGCCAGACCTGGACAATATCCAGGCTTGAGCTGACAAGTTGCAAGTAACATTCGTGCCACACAAGTGTCAAGCAATGACCATCTCCAATGAAAGACAATCTAACCATTAGGCTTGATATTTAATGGTGTTATCATCACTGAATCCGCATTATCAATATCCTGGAGATTAGCACTGACCAGGAGCTGATCTGGACTAACTAAATAAACACAGTGGCAACAAGAGCAGATCTAAACGCTTCAAATACTACAATGAGTTACTCACCTCTGACTATCCAAAGCCTGTCCACCATCTACAAGGCACAAGTCAGGTGTGTGATGAAATACTCCCCACTTACCTGGATGGGGGCAGCTCCAACAACACTCAGGAAGCCTGACACCATCCAGGACAAAGCAGCCCACTTGATTGTTATCACATCCACAAATATCCACTCCCTCTACCATTGACACTCAGTAGCATCAGTATATACTATCTACAAGATACAGAAATTCACCAAAGATCCTCAGACTGCTCCTTCCAAACCCATGACCATTTGCATCTAGAAGGACAAAGGCAGCAGATACATGGGAAGACAATTACCTGCAAGTTCCCCTCCAAGCCACTCACCATCCTGACTTCAAAATATATTACTATTCCTTCAGCTGCTGGATCAAAACACTAGACCTCCCTCCCTAAGGACATTGTGGGCCAACCTACACCACATGGATTGCAGTGGTTCAAGAAGGCAGCTCACCACCACCTTTTCAAGGGCAACTACAGACAGTCAATAAATGCTGGCCAGCCACAACGCCTACATCCCATTAATGAGCAAAATCATGTCCTCTTGTGCAACCTAAGGTGAATGAAGTATAGCCACACTACCACTGGGCCACAAGATATCATTGCTGTGGACATGAAAGGCAATATATAAATTATGCCTTCTTCCTTAGATTCTTTGAGTCATAGAGCTGAACAGCATGGAAACAGACCATTTGGTCCAGCTTATCCATGCTGACCAGATATCCTAAATTAATCTAATCCCATTTGCCAGCATTTGGCCCGTATCCCTCTAAATCCTTCCTATTCATGCACCCATCCAGATGCCTTTTAAATGTTGTAATTGTAACCACCTCCACCACTTCCTCTGGCAGCTCATTCCATACATGCACCATCCTCTGCATGAAAAAGTTACCCCTTAGGTCTCTTTTAAATGTTGCCCTTCTCAACTTAACCCTATGCCTCTAGTTTTGGACTCCTCCACCCCAGAGAAAGGACCTTGGATATTCACCCTAATTATGCCCCTCATGATTTTATAAGCCTCTATAATGTCACCCCTCAGCTTCCAACACTCTAGGAAAAATAGCCCCAGCCTATTCAGTCTCTCCCTATAGCTTAAACACTGCAAGCCTGGCAACATACTTGTAAATGTCTTCTGAACCCTTTCAAATTTCACAAAATCCTTCTTATACTAGGGAGACCAGAAATGAATGCAGTATTCCAAAAGTGACCTCACCAATGTCTTGAATTGAACGCTTGCACAGGATTGGGGCACCAAGTGGCCTCCTCTTGTTGCTTCATTCCATTTTTGTTACTTTCTCATGGATGTGGATGTAACTGTTTGGACCAGTGTTTATTGTCTATCCCTAGTTACCCCTTGAGAAGGCGTTGGTGAGCTTTCTTCTTGAACTGCAGCAGCTTATGTGTTGTTGGTAGACACACAATGCCCTTAGTGAGGGAATTCCAGAACTGCACATAGATTGATGAAGGAACGGAGGGGAGAGACCACTGCACCTGCCTGTAAGGGTCCTTTGCTCAAGACAAACTGAACTCTGTGGACTGGGACAAAGTGCAGCAATCAGACCAGAGTCCTAATCCAGTTGGGAGGGAGCTGTAGGTGGCAACGTCTCAATGGACATGCTTAATAATTGCAATTGTGAGCAGACAAGACAAACATGGCTTGGCATTTAATCTGCCCCATTCCTGGCCTGGTACGACATCTGGCATCTTTCCAAGTCGAAATAAACATAAATAAAAATAATGACCTATTGTGCGACCGAATGAAGACAGCAGCTTTGTTCCTTTTACTCCACCGAAACTGCAGGTCATGGATACTCTCATTATCCTGCATGAGTCCCATCATTACAATGTGATTCTGACAGCTACCATGGTGCAGCTTATGATACCATTAATGGAGATGACTGCACATATCAAACAGCATCTCTTTTGCACCATTACTGAGTCACCCACCGAGAATGTTAAATACTGCTCCAAGGCTTACTCAGTGTCATCATTTGTACTCAGTGAAGTAGGACAAAGACCTCAGCTCCCTTGCTCTGCCCTGCCATGCTGTGCTGGCCACATGCCATTAATTGAGAGCTATTTACAGGCAACAAAATATAATAAGAGAAATAACACTTTCATTGAAATTGCTGCTGGTTGACTTGACGATGCAAAGAAATGAAAGAAAGTCTTGAATTTATCCATCGTTCTTCATCACATCAGGATATCCTAAAATTCTTTAGAACCAATTAAATAAGTGAAATAAGATGCAGTCAATGTTGTTGTTTAGGGGACACAGGAGCTAATTTGTGCACTGCAAAGTTTAATGGGATAAAGACTGGATAATGGGTATTAGTTGTTGAGGGATAAATATTATCCAGGGATAACTTTGCGATTCTTCTTCAAAACAGCTCCACCTTTTACATCCATCTGAGAGGATGCAGATGGGAACAAATGCAGAAAGCCCTGGAGAAACTCAGCAGCTCTGGCAGCCTCTGAGGAGAGAGAGAAACAGAATTGACACTTTGAGTCCAAGACCAATAGAGATTTCCTTGAAAGTCACAGATAGACAAGGTAGTGAAGAAGGCATTTGATATGTTTGTCTCTATTGGTCAGTGCATTGAGTATAGGAGTTGGGAGGTCATGTTATGGCTGTACAGGACATTGGTTAGGTCACTTTTGGAATACTGAGTTCAATTCTGGTTGCCCTATTATGGGAAGCATGTTGTGAAAATTGAAAGGGTTCAGAAAAGGTTACAAGGATGTTGCCATGGTTTGAGCTGTAGGGAGAGGCTGAATAGGTTGGGGCTATTTTCGCTATTCATTGGAGGCTGAAGGGTGACCTTGTAGAAGTTCATAAAATCATGAAGGGCATGGATAGGATGAATAGCCAAGGTCTTTTTCCCAGGGTAGCAGAGTCCAAAACTAGAGGGCATAGGCTTAAGGTGAGATAGGAAAGACTTAAAAGGGACCTAAGGGGCAACTTTTTCAAGCAGAGGGTGGTGCATGTATGGAATGAGCTGCCACAGGAAGTGATGGAGGCTGGTACAATTACAACATTTAAAAGGCATCTGCATGGTTATATGAATAGGAAGGGTTTAGAGGGGTATGGGCCAAAAGCTGGTAAATGGGACTAGATTAAGATACCTGGTCAGCATGGACGAGTTGGACCGAAGGGTCTGTTTCCATGCTGCACAGCTCTATGACTCTATGACTCTATGACTCAATGTCTCTATGTCTGTCTGACTCTTTGACTCTATGACCTTGGTTTTACAACTCATTTGAAAGGTGTCACTTCTATGAGAGTAGGGTTCAGAGGGTGAGTCCGTATACACTGTAGTCATGCTGCGATGTGCTTTCAAGGAAGTGCAAAGTATTGCTATTCTCTAATCAATATGAATTGAGATATTATCACACACCGCTGGAACAGGTGGGACTTCTATCCAGGCTTTCTGGCTCAGAGGTATGGACACTACCTCTGTGCCTCAACATCCCCTTAAACTGCTACGTGAAGAAGGTTTCTCAGGTTTACGACCAGGTCATAAAAAACAATTACACCCACTAACCTCATACTTAACGTTTTACATGTTAATGGATGAATGATATGAGTGAAATTCCTTTACAGAGGATAGTGGACTGAAAATTCTTCAAGGTGAGGAGGACTGACTTTCCCCCACTGTTCTAGGAGAAATAGGATATTTTACAAGTACCAACATTAAACACCAAGACTTCTCATGGAATCTGTACAACATGGAGAATCATGGGATGTTTACCACATAAAAAGAGACCATTTGGTCCTTCACAGCATTTTACCTGGGCTTCTGTTCATGTTTAATATCATGTCTTTATTATATTTTTCACAGTCTAATAGATAATAAAAATCCTTTCTTTTGACTCAAGGAAAATGATTTTGAACTGAATCATTTTTGATCTAGTTAACTAAGTTTACGAGTAAGTGTGCCAAAGAGAAATTAAAACACATCTGTCCTGTCTGAACGAGAGGAGATTAAAAAGAGTGGTAACACTATTCACAATCCACTTGCACAAAAGACATATGAAACAGGTGTTAACCCGTCAATTTTGATATACGCTGCTCTGTTTCAGGTGAACCTGAACAAGTGGAGGAGCTCCATTGAGCTGGTAATGTCTATTGGACTTGAAATGTTAGTTTTGTTTCTCTCTCCACTGACACTGTCAAACCCATTGAGATTTTCAAGCACTTTTTATTTTTGTTTCACACTTTCAGCAGTGGTTTATTTATCCCAGCGAAGGATGAGGGCATGCATGCTGCTCATAATATGGAATAGTTATACTGGCTAAACTGGTACAGGATGAACCAATTTTAATGTTACTGATCATTCCCACAATAATCTTGTACAATAGTTGGATGAATAATGGTTACAGAGGTAAGGTTCTGATGTTCCTTGTGCTCTGAATGCAGACGAGGTTTGTGCAAGAAACCTCACTGATTTCGCATTTTATTCACTCTGGTCATTGGTCAAGGTAAAACTCTTAGAGCACAGATCATTGCTATGTTTCAGTCCACCTAAGAGCTCTATTATTACCCCTGGTTGTGACTGGGATCTTTCAATTTAACAGGCAGGTTCCATTGATAGAGGTGCATTGTCCACAGATAGCCCACAAGCGATAAAGCCATTACTAGAAGTGATTTAGTTGCTGCTTTCATGCAGGGCTTCATGCAGGGCTGTACTGACACACAGAACATCACTCGATATCAGGAGTCCATTAGGCAGTGATCCTTAATGACAGTAATGACATTGCAGACAAATGCCTTTCAGTTTGAATGTAACAGCATTAAGAATGCCGCATTCCCCCGATTGCTAAAATCCCTGTCAACCACACGGTTAACGTTTGGGAAATCCAATTTGAACTATTGACTTTTATTTCAAGAAAAGACTCAGGCAACAGTGAAACTTCAAAAATGGGTGAAGATTCACGAGATCCACTAAGGGTGATAAGGTTGCTTGTACCTCAGCCAAAAAGAACACTAAGCCTCAGAGGAGATTTTGGTTCTACAATGATAAAAACAGCCAACTTACATTTATATAGCTCCTTTTATGTACTTAAAACAGCCTATGGCACTGCTGTAGGATGCAAGGTATTAGGAGAGGTGAGCAAAACCTTCTTCAAAGAGATAGGTTGTGTGCAGCATTGTAAATCAGAAAAGAGAGTTAGGGAGGTGGAAACAATTATGGAGGGGAATCCAGAGTTTAGGGACAAGGTCGCTTAAACAGCTGTCGCCAAACAGAGAAACTAGGGTTGAGAAAGAGGCCAGAAATGAAGGACGGCAGAAATATTGGATGGTTTAGTAGAGGCAGACGTTACAGAGAGAGGGTTGTTGAAGGTCATTAAGTCAGAAAGTTGCTCATCAGGTCTCACCCCAGAGACTAGGGCATAACAATCGAGGCTGACTGGAGTCCTGAGGGAGTGCTGCACTGTCAGAGGGTCAGTACTGAGGGACTGCCGCACTGTCAGTGGATTAGTGCTGAGGGAGTGCTACACTGTCAGAGGATCAGTATTGAGGGAGCGTCGCACTGTCGGAGGGTCAGTACTGAGGGAGTGCTGCACCATCAGAGGGTTAGTACTGAGGGAGTGCTGCACAGTCAGAGGGTCAGT